AGCCTACCAAAGCCAGATCTGCCCTGGGGCCTTGGGAGGGGCCTCACAAAATCCCAAGTAGGGGGATGGTATGGTGCAATTAGGGGAAGCCCACCACCATGTGGAGGCAGGATCCAGGGGCTCTTAGGCTGTCCCCTGGAGTTCTCAGGCCCTCTGGTAGTTGGAGGCCAGAGGGAGGCCAGAATCTCGCACTCTCTGGAGGTCTGCTGAGCTCCCAGCAGCTACCCTGATGGAAGTCTGGTATGTCTAATCTTAATTTGCATCATAAGCTTGAATTTATAAGACATACTGACAAAAGGCTGATGTACATAAAATGCTGGCAACACTTAAAATTTTGGCTTAAAGATCTGGAAAGTTTTCTGGCTCACCTGAATGCTAAAAACATTTGTTAACAGGCTCTTTATTTTACTTAGTAGTATTTTGTTGAGACACATGATATCTGGCCTCACAGAGTCTTTTAGAGAAGACAGATAAGAAAGTTAATTCAATATGGTGTGATTAGGACTGTAAGGGAAGTATAGTTGAGACATTTGCTGAGGTTGTTTATTAAGGTAGAGTTGCTATAATTCCATGTGCCTCTGTCTCCTGAGTGCTGGGATTAAAGGAGTGTGCCACCACACCTCGCTAAATTCATATTTTTATCTTACAAGAAGGTGGTTTTGATTTTAATGTGATATGCTTATGTCTTTAATTATAGGTGTACTTTAATACTGCTACTATTTAGGAATCTTGCTTTGTTTTCAGGGAAGGTATTCATATAAATCAAGAATCACTACAAATATCTCCATGTGTTACAGAGCAGTTCATTGAACTGCTGTGTCAGTTCAGTCCAAACCAAGTCATAGAGACACTGCAAGTCCTTGAGTGCTATCGTCTGGAAGAAACTATTCAGGTAAGGCCAACTGTATACAGAAGACAAGAGTGAACTTTTCCTGAACATTCCTTTGCCAGGCATACACAGGGAGACCCACCTGTGAAGATCCTTGCATAAGGTGGTAGCTAATAAGTGGTGGCACGCTGTAGCAGCCTGCTTCTCTGTTTATTCTGCTAATCAGACAGTGCACATCCATCCATGTTATGAAATTCTAGCCAGCAGGATAAGTCTAGAAAAGGGAATCCCAAGCAGTTGATAACAGTGATGATCAAATAATCGTGGTATGCTGTGAACTATTAGAGCCTAAATAATTATCCAGTAGCTTCAGCACATTCTATGCCTTGATTCCCATATTCATTTCCTTCTGTTTCCAAAAGAGAGAGAGAAAAAAAAATGAGAGAGACTGCATGTGTGTTATAAACCACTGTTTCCCATTTCCCATTTCAAATTTATTTATTTATTTATTTATTTGTTTATTTATTTATATTTATTTTGGTGGTCTTTTTGAGACAGCAGTAGCCCCAGCTGACCTGGAACTCACTATGTAGCCCAGGCTGGCCTTGAAGTCACAGAGATCCACTAAATCACCATGAGTTCATGTAGTGACTAGAGCTTCATCCAGTGTTGATATTTGAGCCTTATTGCTTTGTGGTCCAATAGAATGCATGGAATTATTTCAGTATTTTTGTAATTTATTTTAAGATATACCATTATGCCTTTACTTTTGCTATCAACAAATATTAACCTGTATTTTCTACACTCACCTTCTGAATTGCCCTCATGCTTAAAAAATGTTGAGGCTGGAGGTACAGCTCAGCGATAAAGAACACTGCCTGCTTCTGCAGAGGGCCTGGTTTCGGTTTCCAAAACTCACATGATGGCTAACAACTGTCCATAACTCCAGTTGCAGAGGATCTGGTGCCCTTTTCTGACCTCCAGGGGCATTGCATGACATGGGTGCACTTTCACACACACACACAAACACACACACACACAGGCAATACACTCATACACATAAAATAATAAATAAACTATTTCTTTTAAAGTTGAATTATCTGGAGCTAGAGAGATGGCTCAGTAGTTTAGAGAGCTGGCTGCTCTTGCAAAAGACCCAGGTGGGATTCCCAGCACCCACATGGTAACTAACAGTTGTTTTTAACTCCAGTTCTAGGGGAATCCAATGTCTTCTTCTGACTTCTGCAGGCATTGTATGACATGGGTGCACTTATATACATGCAGGCAATACACCCATACAGATAAAATGATAAATAAAATATTTTTAAATGTTGAGTTATGAAATATTTCAAGTATTTAGGCATGTGTAGAATATGAACTATGTTTATACTCACCTAATGAATTTCAAGGTCAACATTTGCCTTACTTGTTTATTTTAAAAATAAAGTACTGTTTTTCTGTCTCTTTCTCTCTCTCCTTTCCTTTGAGGCCACTACCAGCCTAATGCTGGTGTGGTATTTATCCTTTCAATCCATGATTTTTATTTTTGTTATATATGTTTCTGTATATAAAATACATGATAGCTTTATATGCTTTAAAATTTGTATTAACAATATCATAAAGCACATAAGCTATTGTAAACAGTTTTTTCCACTTTTTAATTAGTCAATTTTCTGCATTTAAATGTACCTAATTCATCTTAATGATACAGTGTCTATCAAATGAATCAGTTTGCTTCTTTCGCTGTTGAAAAATATTTAGTTACAATCGTCCCACCCCCTCTTCCACAATGGTGCTGAGCCCAGTGTGGGTGAGGTTTAATGTAGGAATCCTGTCCAGGAACATGAACTCTGCACTCTCCTATTCGCTACACTTTGGCCAGTTGTGGCCTTCTGTGTTCATAACCCTCTGTTGCATGAGGAAGCTTTGCTCATGAGATTTGAGGGATGCATTAGTATGCTCTCTCCTTCTTGTTCTGCTATGTTCCATGAGCTTTAGATGTAGAGGTTCCATTATAGATGTGTCACTTAGGGCTGGGCATCTCAGAGACACTTATTCTCTGTGTTTGACCAGTTGTGGAACTCTGTAATAGTCCCATCTGTTGCCAAAAGAAGCTTCTTGATGAGTGGTGACTGGTATACTTGTCTGTAAATATAGGGGTACATATTTAGCACATAGTAAGAAATTACATTTGTCTAGGAACATGATAGAGATAGGGTTTTCTCTTGGATCTATGACCTCTCCAACCATGTGTATTTGGCTATGTTTACAGTGCCACACATGAGTTCCCTCCCATTGAGCAGGCTTCGGGTCCAGTTAGATAGCTGCTGATTACCCCCAAGATAAAAGTGCCACAGCTGCACCAATATAGTTTGCTGTGCTGGCCGTTGTTATGGTTATTAGACTTTAAAGTTGGGATTGGACCATTGATAGATTTTCTCCTTTAGCAGCTTGCATAATGTTTTCTAAAACTTATGTGAGCCAGTCTTCAGAGACGAGGCTTCTAGATGAGCACAAAGAACAATACTGGGGGTGGGAATTTACCGTATAGATCTCACATTACAGAGCTCTAGTCATAAAAACAGCATTGTACTGACACAAAAACAGACATGTAGATCAGTGGAATATGACAGTAGACCCAAACATAAGCACATGAAATTTCAGCCACCTAATATTTGGCAAATGTGCTAAGAACATGCACTGGAGGAAAAACAGCATCTTTAACAAATGGTGTAGGCAAAACTGGATCTCCACCTGTAAAAGAAAGAAATTAGACTCATATTTACCACCTTGCACAAAAGTCAACTCCAAATGGATCAAAGATCTCAATGTGAATCCTGAAACTCTGAAACTGTTAGAAGAAAACATAGGCAATACCCTATAAGAGATAGGTGTAGGAAAGGACTTTCTAAATCAGACATCAATTGCTCAAAAATTAAGGTCAGCTATTGATAAGTTGGACGTCATTAAACTAAAAAGTTGCACAGCAAAAGAAACAACCAAGGAAATGAAGAGGAAACCCATACAGTGGGAAAAAAAATCTTTACCAACTACATGCCTGACAGGAGATTAATATTCAGAATATACAAAGACCTGAAAAAACAAAGAAGCAAGAAAACAAATGACCCAATTAAAAGATGAGCTTTGGATCTGAATGGAGAGTTCTCAAATGAAGAAATAAAAATGGCGAAGAATCAGAAGGGGGATTCTTCTCTGGCTGTGTTATGGATATTTTGTGGAGACTGCTGCTTGTACAGCTAAGGGAGCATTTGGTTCTTGGAAGAATGGTGTGCAAAAAAAATGTGAAAAGAAACTTGGTACCATTATCACTCCAGATACGTGGAAAGATAGTGCAAGGAATACCATAGAAAGTAGTGGAAGAAAGCTGAATGAAAATAAAGCTTTGACTTCAAAAAAAAAGCAAGATTTGATCATATGGAAAGAATAAGTTCTCCACTTGCAGAATCTGTAAAAGTTCTGTGCACCAACCAGGTTCTCATCACTGCCAGGGTTGCACCTATGAAAAGGGCATCTGTGCAGTGTGTGCAAAAAGGTTTGGGGTACCAAAACTTAGAAGCAGACTTCCGTCTAGATGAACCAATGAAGTTTCTGGCTTTCTATGCTTTCCGCTTTGACTTTCTAAAGCATGACAAATATTCATCTTGCAAAATAACCTGTTTCAAGACAATTGATTAAGTTTAAACCAGGGAAGTTAATGTTATTTTGCTCTTAAGAAGTTCTGATCAGCAATGATAGAACTAGTCCTCTGCCTTAACTGGTATTTTCCATATGAATACTTTATTGAATGAGAATAAGCTACAAAATTACTGAAAAAGATATTTGAGTTCTGTATGTACTTTTTATTTAGCATTATTCATAGGATTGTTTGATTCGTGTATTTTATTTGTAGCTATTACAAATGTGAAATTATTGCTCAAAACTTACATCCAGACTTCTTTATGAATGCCACAGTTCTTAGAACCAACACTCCCTTAATTAATTGCAGTTTCATTGCCTGTTTAAGTGTTTAAGACCATTATTGCTGAATGGTTCATTAGTAACCATTAGTCTAGACCCAAATCAAAAATAAGTTGCATTTTTTTATTTTTAACTTTTAAGTTCCGGTTCCTTTCACATGTGAACAAGAACCCACAGAACACTCATTTGTTGAAATGAATACACTGGATTTCAGAAAAGTGAATATTATACATATTATCTTGAATTCAGATTGTTATGAAAGCTGGAAGAAACAGTGTCTGTCCATGACAGTGTCTGCCCATGAAATAAAATGAAAATGAATTTACATTTGAGGAAAGCTGTTTGAGGTAGGAAACAAACTTTTTTTACCCTCTCCACCCCCAAAGAAATAATAAAACAAAACAAACATCTTGACGCATCCTCTTTATTTTCTTTTTCCTTTTCATTCTTTCTTTTTTCTTAAATATTGTAGGCTGCTAGAAGACTATTTTGAGATTTCAAGTGAAGATTTTTCTTACACTGTCTTCTTAGGTTTGGACCATCTGCTTTTAAAACTTGCAGCCTGCTGGGAGACCTTTAAAAGTGTTCCCTGTTTCCACCTGTAATATCTTGAACTGTATATCACTGTAAAAAATAAATAAATAAATAAATAAGTATATATATGCATAAAGAATGGCTAAGATTCATCTTAAAAAGTGTTCAACATCCTTAGTAATCAGGGAAATATAAATCAAAAGCATTTTAGGGTTTCACCTTACCCAAGTCAGACTGGCTAAGATCAAGACGACAAATTCTGGCAAGGATGTGGAGAAAGGGGCATACTCATTTACTACCAGTGGGATTGCAAACTTGTGCAACCACTGTGGAAAGCCATTTGGAGAACTCTTTAAAAACTAAAAATAAATATTTTCATATGATACAGTTATACCACTCCTTGGCATTTACCCAAAGGGCTCATCCTACTGCAAAGATGCTTGTACAACCATGTTTGTTGTTGCCTTTTTCACAATAGCTAAGAAATGGAAACAACCAAAATTTTTCCTTAACTGATGAATGGATAGTGAAAATGTACATTTTCTACTGAG